CAATTCTTTTTTACATTTCTTTAATATTTTGTTCTATTCAGCTACACAAGCATCCTCTTTAAACAAATAAGAATTGTACTATAAATGTGACTTTACCCTATTCTTATGTACACCGTAGTAATTTATTGATATGCCGCACAATGTCCTCCTTTTTGGTGTTATAGAAAGAAGACTGCATCCCATTTGCAGTACTCACCCTTGGGTTCTTGGGTCTTCCCACTGTGTGGTCTTGGTGCTGTGGTTCACAAAGTAAACTCTGTCATTAGAGTCCACACGCCTCTCTACAGTTATTTATCAAATGCAAAGACATGAAGGTTAGATTACAGATCCACAGCAGGCGGTTTGATGCAGAATAATACAGTATAGGAAGCGCATTATAAATTACACTCCCTTTAAAAGGAAGTTAAAGTTTTACGGTCTTATTGGACAAATTGAAAAGCAGCTATTTCAGTTGCTAACAGTGGTTCAGTTATTTGTGTTTATTTCATTGGTATTCTTTCACCACTAGAACATAATGCAGAGAGATGATGAACTTACCCCAGGCAGGAGGTAGAGGGCCAAGAGGATCGTTCTCAGCAGACATCATAGATGCCTAAAAATTAACAGTTTGCATCAAAATCTTTAAAAAAAAACAAAAAGATAAAAAAAAAAACTAGAGGTGTTTAGAAATAGAGAATCTGTGTCTACTAGGTGGTTTAACTTGGTAATTTCACCTCTTATGAGAAGACAAAAGAAAAAAGAATAAGTTGATTTGACCTATACATTTTCATCTTACCACAATGTTTTAAAACTGCAGTAATCCCATATTCACAGGGAGTTGACAGAGTTTTAATCTGGGGTTTTAATTCAGGCTGAAACAAATCAATATCAATACACCAAAAAGACTTCAAGCACTATGACCCCTCTGGACATGCTCTGTAGTATGAAAATAGATATCAGGGGCTTCTTATACAAAAGCGTGAATAGGTTTCATACGGAAAATTAGCTTTGGGAGAAATTCAATATAGCCTACTGCTCTGAATAAATGCAGATGTATAAAACTGTTCATACACTTGTCATTCCACACTTTACCTAATTATATCCCAGTTTGAAATGAAACTGCCAGCAGCTCCACGTGTATTTTCACCTGCCTCATTCAGCGCATAATACTTAAATCATTACAAATACCAAGAAATAGGATTAAAAGAATTATGGACTAATTGTGATTAATTAATTATTGAAAGAAAAATATAGTTATCTGGAGAATATGGAATCTAAATCATGCAATTAACTGAAAGAACAACTCACTCAGGGCAGTAAATATTACTAAAATTGTCAAAAAAAAAACAAAAAACTAAAGAAAATAATTTGCAATGAAGGTGAAATGCCTTTTTCGTCAGTAAAGATGCTCTTTCCCGATCTCCTCGAACTGGTATGGTCTTAATCTTAATTGATTTAAATTCTTTTACCTTTTTCTATCCAATTATCAATTGATTAATTGAAAAAATAAATGACAAATTAATCAATTAGCAAAATGATCTTCCAAATAAACACAAGATCAATCTTAAACTGTAATATGGTTTTCAACCATGTTTCCCCTTCCTCTTTGGTTTAGTTGAGTTTCGCTAGTTTTAATTAAGAGTTTTTAACTGACATATGTATGACTTGGAGCTGAATGGTTCTTGTTAATAAATTCTTATATTTTGAAAGGAAGTTGTGGTGAATTTATTCCATGTATGTGCAGAATGATCTGTTTGACCATGATTTGAGCTGGAATCACTCTTTCATTTGTTGTTCTAACACACAGCTAGTAGGGCATCTGTCCATAAACAATATATGACTGTCCAAATAATATCTGATGAACAAAGACATTTGCCACCCTTACCAGGGAGGGCAATAAACATCTTAAATTATCAGAACATAATATGGTGTCCCAACTGGCTGGGCATTGAATATAACAGTTATTGACAACACACTCCCTCCATTCTTCCATTGGCGATGTCCTCCAGCATTGCCAAAGCTACCATCCTACAGTTATGCATCCCTACACTCGGCTATTTATGGACATTTATTGTTCACAGCTTGTCCACCCTATGAATCATTACACCTGACTTGTCTGAAGAATATGTGCTGTTCTGGTTTAGTTTTTTAGTTGGAAATAAAGTGCTCCTACAAAAACAGATTTATGCTCCTTGATCCACAGAAGAAGTTGCATTTATATTACCAAAACAAAGGAAGATGTACAGATTACATACGGTTGCAATAGTTATTTTTTTAAGGTGCTTGATTATTACTTGAAGCTAAACTTGTCAGTTTTATCCATTAAGATTCAACTTATAAAAGCCAGAACTCGTGAAAGACATTAAAGTCGCTACTCCTGCAAGAAAAAAGTCATGTTTGAGTGTAATTAGCTGAATTTTAGAATTTTTAAGTTAGTTATTATTAATATTTTTATCAATTTAATTATTTCTTTTTAATAATTAAATTTTAGAAGAAGGTCAAAAGTTTACATGAATACCCACACACTTTGGAAACACATTAAATTTTCTACATGCAGAGTTGTGCTTAAAATATTGCTAATTAAGTTTTTTGTGCATGTTCACACCTCGTACATGAGGTCCCAGAATGCAGTTTTTACCAAATATAAACTGATTTAGCTGATTTTATTCTTCAGATAGTAAAATTCTCAAATGAGAAATTTGAAATCAAAATTCATAATGCTGTTTTTTTGAGCTTCAGGACCTAACCCTCATACCAGTGAGGAGACTAAAGAAGCAGGAGCAGAATGAAGCTGCTTACAGAGTAGAGGTATCTCTGGTTGAACTGATGCATAGCTCCCTGCAGCTGGCTGCGCTGGCTCTGCCACTGCTCAAAGTTGTGCACAGATTCCATCGTGGGGCGCTGCCACGTGGTGGTGCGGGTGTTGTGGTCAACATAATAGATCCGACCGCGATCGTCCACTCGACGTTCCCATCTGGAAACATGGAGATTTGAATGTCAGGAAATGGGACACAACAATTGGTCATCAACTGTAAAACAGAGAATATAAATAATATGAAGGATTTAGTTAGATCTAGAGTCGTGTGACATTCTTTTGAGGACCAGAATGTTCAAATTTTGGATAAAGAAAATAGGTGGTTTGAGAGGAATGTGAAGGAAGCCATGTATGTTAAGAAAGAAAAACCAACCTTGAACAGAGGGGGTGGACTTAGGTTCCATCTTTTAAAAACTTACAATGCAGCTATTGAGTTAATCCTTCCCGTTATCATCGCAGCACCACCCCCTGTACAGGAGAGTGGAGGACCTCGTCTATTCAGCCAGTCCAACAATCCCCTTTAACGAAAGACCTTTCAGACTTAAGGTTGATTTATACTTGGAAACGAGAACATCTGCGTAGGTGTCACAGTGAACAAAAAGACGTCCCCGCCCCCTCCGCAGACACTCCGCTGCACCTCTCCCAAATTGTAGGTGACCGCAGACAGTGCCACAGACAGGAGGCAGGCTTGTTTTGTTTTTATGACCGAAATTGCGGAAAACAGCTCATGAAGTTGGACCAGCTAGAAGAGCGAGGTGATGGGAGAACGCTTTGACCCCTTTTCCACCTGCATCCCCACTCTTTTTCGCCATCAAGTCCCTCCGTTGTCGAACAAACTCGCCCCCACCTCCTCACCACCTTGCCGGTATCTAGACCTACAGCGTATAGCGGAGACCAATCTTCAATACTTGGCATAAATCAAAAATGTCTGCATCAAGCTCACTGCGACACACTGCTGCAGGAGTATAACCAACCCTCTAGATGGGTATGGGGTTTTGCAGTGCAACAAAAGAAGCCAAACGACCCCCATTCCAAATGGGTGGACCCCTTCATCTGTTTCAATTTGCTTTTGTTAGGCTACTGTATAAAACCTCGAACTCAACGCTATTCCTGACATTTTGAATAGAAAAAGCTTCCTGGATGGGAAGCAAAACGTCTTCAAACTTGGAAACCAAGTCCAGTGGATTGTTTTTTTATTTCTTTGGAATGACTATGACCTAAATGACTTTCACCAGCATTTAGTTACCTATATCATTTTAATTTGGTCATATATAGTAAAAAAAGGTTTTGGTTCTCTTTGCTCTCTTGTACAAAGATGTGTTTGTTTGCAAAAACTGCTATGTGGCACTAAATTCTGCAATTTCATAACAGAAAACCATTATAAAATAAAAAATTTTATCAGTAATAAATTCTAACTAATAATACTGGTGAAAATATCAAAGGCCAGGTAAGTTTATTTGTATGGCAAAATTCAGTACATGGACAATTCAAAGTCTTTACACGAATAAGATATTAAAATAGAGGGAAAAAAAGCAGAAGAAAAGTAAATCGATATATAAAAACATGTGTAAAACAAATAAAACAATTGGACCACAACCATAGACTTGTAATACCTCAGTTTAGAGTTTCACTTCAACAGGCAAAGGCAGTTCAAAACAAGTAGGTTTTTTTAAACTTTGACTTAAAAGAAGTCAGGCTTTCGGCACTTTTCCAGTCTTCTGATGCAGCATTAGGGTCCTGTTGCCTGGGCTTCACCCCATCAGTTGTTGTTGAGCTGCTACTACTGCCTCCAGCTCCTGAGGCACTCGCTTCTCTTTTCCAGTCTTCTGGGAGTTTGTTTCAAATCAGTGGAGCATAGGAACTAAATGCTGCTTCTCCATGTTTGGTTCTAGTTCTGGATGTACACAGTAGGCTGGAACTAGAAGACCTGATTGGTTGATAAACTGACAACAAATCCGTTATGTATTGAGTTGATGATCCATTCAGTGATGTATAGACTAACAGAAGGATTTCAAAGTATATTCTCTGAGCTACAGGGAGCCAGTGAAAGGACTTCAGAACCAAGCGGATGTGTTCCACTTTCTTAGTTCTAGTGAGAACTTGGGCAGCAGCCTTTTGGATCAGCTGCAGCTTTCTGGACTTTTTAAGCAAACCTGTGTAGACACTGATGTAGTGATCAATTCTACTAAACATAAATACACAAATGAGGTTTTCTAATTCCTGCTTGGAAATATGTGGCTCTGAAGGTTCAGGTCTGAATCCATCATGACACCAAGATTTTGGCCACAGCGGTTTCTAGCTGTACTGTAGTAGCTGAAGTTGTTGAATTTTATTACCTTTGGTCTGAATATTAATATCTTAGTTTTGCTTTATTTAGTTGTAAAAAAGTATGTTCATCAATATGTTTCATCCACATATTGATCTGTGCTAAGCAGCTAGCCAACGCTCTGATGGGTTCATAGTCACCTGGTGACATTATGATTTAAAGCTGTGTGTCGTTTGAATAGTCATAGTAACTGATCTTGTTGTTTGCTATAATCTGAGCCAAGGGGATAATGTAAAGGTTGAATAGGAGGGGCCCCAGAATGGAGCCCTGAGGAACCCTGCATGGGATTTTTTCTGGTTTTTGATTTAAAGTTCCCTACTGACTCTTAAAGTTCCTGTCCTTCAGGTAGGAATTAGAGCAGTCCAGTGCTGTACCATTAGAGTGTTTTCCAGGCACTCTAAAAAAGTCGCTTGATCAACAGTATCAACCACTGCACTAAGGTCCAATAATACTAGCACTGTAGTTCTTCCACAGTCTGAATTTATAGGGATGTCATTGAAATCCTTGATTAAAGCAGTTTCTGTTCTGTGGTTGGCCCAGAAACCTGACTGGAAGACATCAAAGATTTAAAGAAACAGCAGAAACTAATGAGGCACCAGCTACTCATCCATATTCTTTCAAGTTCAAATTCATCAACTTTTCTTTACTGGATCTCAAAATATATCAGAATAAATTTGATTTTTTCCTTTAAAGCTCAGGTAAATTCAGATTAAGTTTTGGAACCGATGCTTTACTGCATAAATGAAGTTAACTACTTTGTTTGATTTTGGTCAGTCCTACAGAGCAATTTAGCTGCAGTGTCATGAGTCAAACTGAAAGAGAGACACTGTGTCAAAGTAAAAATCAGCGGATTTCAGGAAAATAGACAGTAAAAACTCTAATTTGCACAATTTGCAAGTTAAACCAGCCCCATTAAACTACTTTGGTAACACTGTATATTGTGCATACAGTTGTGCTAGAAATTGGATATACCCCTTCCATTTAAGAAACAAATTAATTATCACTAGTAATTCATCAAAGCACTGAAAAAAGTATACTGGTAATTGATAAAAAATATGCTAAATTGCAATTAAAGAAAATGTTCATTTTGAATTTTGAAGTGAACAATGTAGTGAAGTCCTGCACAGATGGGGATCTGCAAACGCTGTCCTTAGCCACTCTAGTCACATTGCACCAGAATGACAGGAAAAAAGAGTTAAATCGCATGAGATTTGCAGAGATGAACCCAGCCTTTAAAGATGCTCACCCTGTAGGTAATGGCTGTGGCCTCTCCCAGGTAGTAGCTCTGGTGTTGTGGTCTACATAGTAGGTTCTCCCATGAGGATCTTTTCTCTGCTCCCACCTGAAACACAGGGATTATCATGAACATTAAAGCAAAAAAGCTTTTAGGTTTCCCAATAACTCAAACAAAAGGGAAAATAAAAGGAAAGTTTAACTTATTTTATGAGCCCAGCAGAAATTGGGGAATGGGCTGCTTCTTATTGAAACCATAAAAGAATCGTGTTTTTTTATTGGTTTAAAGAGACGTTTGTTGAGGCTTTTTGAATTAAAGAGTAACTTGGCGTCACCCTTTCCTCACCCTTAACCTGAACAGGTTTTCTTGACATAAACTACTTGTCAGAGGGCTAAGAACTTAGGACCCAGAATTCAGGTGAGACAGACCGTGATATACTCAAAAGAACATTTATTGAATTGGTGTGCAGCTTCTCGTTTGCTGTGGCGGAGCCACTGGAAACTCTGCAGGAATCGAGGTTCAGGTCAGTGACTTCAAAACTCAAGTGATGGATAACAATGAGCATGAAAGCCACCAGAGTCCAGAAGAAGGAGTGTTATCCATTGTGAGTGTTTCTCAGTAAAAAGCAACTTTACTTTTTTAAACGTTTTAACTTTTTACTAAGCACTGGTTATCCTGCAGAGAAGAGCAGCAGTGTTCTTCAGCAGCCAGAGCACATTTCTTTCAGGTGTCTCCAGGCGTTTCTTTTAAATACCATTTTGAATAGCATAAAACCTTCATGTTTTACCTTTATATTTGAACTCTAAGTAAATGTACTGTGAGAAGCTCATGCAACCCTACCCATACAGATAAATATGTGGATATATATGTTTTCTCACAAGTAGCTAGAAAACATTGGCATAACAGTGCCTTGTTTAGGCAACTTTGACCTGTTCTTGCTCGGCTATTATGATGTCTAAACTATTAGAGAATTATCTCAGGAACTGGGCATGGAGAGCTTCAGTGGCTGAGCAGCTACTTCCACCCTTAGCAAAAAGTAGTATACTTGACGTAAATTCTATTAAGAATACTTAAGTATAAGTATAAGTTTAGAAAGTATACTGAACAATGTACTTTTTGTGTACTTTAAGTATTACTAAAGTAATACTTCTTCGAACTGAATTGGGACATTTGTAAGTTTGCTAAAGTTTACTTAAAGTGTGCTTTAGTAACCAATAAAGTAAACAATAGTATAGTCAACTACACTTGACTATACTATATATATAGTTTAGAGTAAAAAAACTCTAAGTGCACTGCCTGATTTTAAGTGTGAAATTAGTGCACTTTTAGTATACTTGCAAAGGAACTGATATTTTCAACAATTTCTTAAGCCAAAGGACAACATCCTCCTGTTCTAGAGGGACATGCATGAACAAGTTTAACGTAGAATGCGTTCAAAGATGTGTAGAGATGTCGTACTTTACAAATCTACCGGATCAATTAGGGCAAAAACTCACAATTGCTCACTTATTACTCTTCTAAATCTCAGACTTTCTTCACAGAGCAGCTGAATCTATAAATGATGGCTGATACTAAAATAAAGAATGTCTTAAAAATTAGGTGTTTGAAGGGCTTTCCGCGCAAGCAACGAAGTGACAGATACAAAATGCAGATCAGAGTTTCTGATATTGTCACAGAGTACCAGAACCAAATGAATATTTTATCATATTTATCATCTTGTATATACAAAAAAAGTCACTATATCTAGTTATTGAAAGCTTGGCAGCAGTGAAGTCACACTGATCTGAATACGATCTTAGCATCCAGATGGGATTTTTACCCTGGTGGAAGAGGATCTGATGCTGGAGCATTAGGGGCCTGTTGCCTGGGCTTCACCCCATCAGTTGTGGTTGAGCTGCTGCTACTGCCTCCAGCTCCTGAAGCACTCGCTTCTCCTGACTCAGGGCAGGAAGAGGACGATGATGAGGATGCGGTGAGGGTGGTAGCCCCCTGGGTTGAAGAGGCTGAGGTGGTTGAAGCAGCAGCGATGCCATCGGCAGGTTTAGCAGCGACAGACGATGCTGGCGAAGGTGTGAAAGCAGGAGGAGGCCGGGAGGAGCCGGCTGGAGAGGTTTCAGGATTTGGCAGGGAAGCATCTAGAGCGCTCTCCTCATTTACACCCGCAGGTGGCTGTGCTTCCCTTCTAGATGCTGAAGATTGCCTGGGAACAGTCTCAGAGGAGTTTCCATTCACTGCAGACGGATCAGAAAAATTGACAAGTGTGTTTTTACTTTGCACCTCAACAACCAACAACTTGCAACAAAAAGCAACAAAAACAACAGAGCGAAAAGAAGGTACAGTAAATTCTAGCATCACAGAGCCGTTATGCATGATAACATATTTTGAAACATTATCTCAATATTTTCAGCAATGCCATGTAGTAGATGTTCCTACAACAGCAGTGAAAAGAGAGCATGAGGTTGTTGCAGCAATAAATGCAAAGCTAGAACTAATAAAGACAACCAGTTCCAGTATAAAAAAGAAACAATGGTTTTCATGAAAATACGGCTTGTTGCAGAAACAGATATTTTGCAAAAAGAAGTCAAGAAAGAAAGAGAGCTGTGCATAGTCTCAGATGAACACAAGAGAGGAGCTTAAAAGTAGGGATGCGAACAAATTAATTTATGCTTGATTATCAACTAATGGCTCATTAGAATAAAATTAACAAAGCTATTTGTGTCATGCTGCTGCAAAATGCTGTTTTTTTTATAAGCTATAATAAAAATGTGTCTATACTGAAAACTAAGAAATTCAACTAAGACTTTTGATTTTTTTTTTTAATCTAGAGGAAAGACTACTAATACTTTTAATTTAGTGACAATGTTACAAAATGCATAATTTAAGCTGAGGAAGAGCCAACACTTGCTGGTAGCAGTGTTGCTTAGCAACAAATAATGAATGAGGTATAATTTTATTGTTACATTTATGACTATGGCAGCTTGCTAAGCCTAAATATGTATCCTCTCTTCATTTGGGTTGAACTGAGGATGTTTGTATTCATATCTCTTTGGAAGCGGACTGTGACGTAGCCTCATCTGTTCCTGTTTGGCTGTGCTGCTGCCATCAACTCCCTTGTTTATAGATGTTGGAGATCGGCCTGTTTTCCAGTGTAGTCCTGTTTCTCTGACTGTGACTGGCTGGATGTGCTCTCTTCATCCTCTGACATGGGAGCTGGCTCAGAGCTCGTCTGCCTGGCTGTGTGTTTCCTGGACGGGGCCGCCTTTTACAGCTGCTTTTTGTATCTCTGCTTCTGTCTCCTTGAACCCCAGTCGGCCTCAGCAGATGGCCGCTCACACTGAGCCTGGTTCTAGTGGAGGTTTCTTCCTGTTAAAAAGGAGTTTTTCCTCTCCACTGTCGCTACAAGCATGCTGTTAATGTGAATTGGCACTACAGTATATAAATAAACTGAATTGAATTGACTTTCTTAAAAAGTAGGTTTTCTTTCAGATCAGATTTTCTGGTCTTTATTTAAACCTGGAAGAAAAGGTCCTGGACCTGGATACAAGGAGCTGAAATTAGCTTTCTCATCAGGGTGGCTGGGCACTAGGTGATTCAGGAGAGGCTCCGAGTAGAGCTGCTTTTCCTCCACATCAAGAAGAGTTATTTAAGATTGTTTAGGTATGATATTTTTCTTTTACCAACTGATTGTGATGGTGTTATCTAAGTTTTTATTCTGTCACACCCTTTCCTATGGGATAACTAACAGATAAAACATATATACATGTTTAATTAGATTCCTGATGAGAGGTTCTGTAAAAAAATGAAGTAGATAAAACGAAAAATCATTCACTGATTAAAAGTTCCCTTTAGGGAAGGGAAGCAAAAGTAAGCTCACCCATTCTGGCGTCTGGGTCTCCGTCTGCACATTGGTGCACTGGGGTGGAGTTGGCTGTTGCATCTCCATTGGTCAGGCTGGGGACATGATGGAGAGGAGGGCTGCAGGAACTGGAAGGCACCTGACCATCTGCACCGCTGGAGGCTGAGCAGGAACTGGACTGCTGGCCCGGGTCTGCTCCATTCATGGTGCTTCAAGAAGGAAAACATGATGGGGAATGACAAACTATAGCACACAAGGAGTCATTTATTAAGGAAGATTTTATTTTAAAGTTGGCAGTTTTGTTTTCTTTATTTTAAGTTTTTCTGAGTCATTGCTCTCTGGGTTTTATAATGTTTAATCTTTTTGCATCCTCTTTGTGTACTTCACTATTTAAAGAACAGTGGTTTTTCTTTCTCATTCTGGTACAAAAACAAATAATAAAAACACTTTGCTATTTTCATCTGTGGCTACAGCTTGAAGAGGTTGAAAATCTGTATAAAATCAAGCAGGTTAATTCACGAAAATATTATAATTGACTCATATTCTGTGCTTCCTAAAAGGCAGCCCCAGACTTCATTCTCCAAAGCAAAGACTGAGCTGAATTTGCAGAATTGTATATTGGGGATATACACAATATTATCTTATCAGCCGATTATCAGTATCTGCTGATATTAGCTTTGAAATTAAACATCAGGCATAGGCTATTCTAGTAATTTAACTCACTAATATAAAAGGCAGTGATTTTGTTGCAAAAGGGTGATGAATATTGAACAGAACATCACCACAGCTGATGAACTACTGTATAAGGGATTGAGTCCTGATGGACAGAGGCAGCTGTTCATCAGTGAAGCAAGTTTCAATAACTTTCCCAGAACTCAGTCCTCAATAGTACTAAGTAGTCTAACAGAATTTCATTTGGACAGACCATGGCTGTAAATAGTTATTTTACATCATTGTCAATATTACAGGTTCTAAATATTTGTTTTTTTTTTCATTATGTTTTGCTAAATTGTATAAATGTTAAAAGAATAATAATAACATATGAGAAAACCCAATTTTTAGTTTAATCTGTCAGTATTTAATACAGCTGGAACAATAAATTATAAAAATATAACTTTTTCTTAAGAGTTTGCATACTATTAAAAAAATAGCCCAGCATGAAAATATCCTATTGATAAAAGACAAAACTCAGGTTTTTAAGAAAATGGTCACTCATCAATTATTCAATTAATTAATCTGTTTTAGATTACATGATAATTTGATATCTTGCATCTTATTAGCTTCCTCTTTTTTATGTATTGAATGAATTATTGGAGGAGTTTTTATTGTGCTTATTTTTAGAAACAGTAACTTCAAATACATTTGAAAAACAATTTACTTTGTTCTCTCCAGCAGTGTGGATCCAAGGAGAGCAAAAAAAGTTACAGTAACTGGCTTTTATTTGTTGCAAACAAAAAGTATGAGTATTAGCATTACTGTAAAAAAAATAGTTGCATATATATATATATATATATATATATATATATATATATATAT